TGCTTCTTCAGCATCTCTGGCTCGCGCCTCCCTCGTTTGTGCTTCCCTTTCTTCGGCTTCTCTGGCTCGCCTCTCTCTGGCTCGTGCTTCCCGGTACTCGTACTCGTGGACGTCATACAGTGGAGGTGGTGAACCATGCCGATGTTCCGGTGATAATCGTCGATCGCTTCTAATACTGTGATGTTCTTCCTGCGAGTTCGACAACAATAATCCTCGACCCCGTCCTCCAGAGAATGAAAGCAGTCGTGGCATTGATGACGCTGTCGGTGGTGTTTCCTCCTGCTCTTGTGTGTGCTCCACCGAATCCGCTGAAATGTTGCTTCCTCCAGCAGCTCCTTGTTTACGTGCAACGGTCCGCCGTACCGTTCCGGTCGTGTTCTCTTGTTGGTTCACTGTCACTTCACTTCGTTGCACCCCGTTCACCGAATAACGTAACACACTGACAACTTTGTTGAACAACACATTCACGTGCATCGTGACCATCGTGTGTGTGTCTTGAAGTTCAACGGGGGGATCGATAAGTCGCAAGCGGTTTTGGTAGTGGGACAGTCGCGAACGGAGTTGACTCAAACCGTTTATATCGATTGAATTAACGGCTGCTTCCGTAAGCAAGTGAAGTTGTTCTACTTGCGATTGACAGACTTCAATATTGGCCTGAGCGCTCATAACATGCTCAGAATTTGTAGGCATATTGTCTCTTAAGGACTCTTCTTGTATGAGTGCCTTAAGGCGAAGCACCTTGCCTCGGTGCGTAGTGGGACCTAAGTTGACTACATGACGCAGAGCCAACTCATAATTAATTTCCTCATTACTCAAGTGTGTGTAATCCATCTCGAATATTTGCGTAAAGGTAAAACTAAACTGTCCTCCAAAGAACAATCAAGCACAAACCAAATATCTCAAAACTCACAAACCAAAAATTTCGCTAACGGTAGTATTATATGTGGATTTTTAAGTTGGGCGCCAGTGTTGCATACGACTTGTGCTTGTATGGAAAGCTTGGGTCGAATCGGCTAGCAAAATGAACACCACAACAAAGTACATAATCAACATAGGCAAACTTTTATTTCTGCATGTTCTGCCACATCATTATCTCCTACCTGTCTCTTATTCCCTGTCCTGGCCCCCTTTCATCGCACTGTTGCGCAACCCCTCTTGACCTACTGTTCTTTTCCACTATAAATAATTTTCTTCAGGTGAGTACTCACACAATATCGACCGGGTGCACCCGAATCGCGGTTCCACTTCTGTCATCGATGCGCCGACACAACACACCACCAAACTTCACGCCGATATCCTTTAGTTGACTAGGGTACGCTTCGTGGTCGTCAAACGTCTTACTTCCTTCGTGAACAGCCGTTCTCGGCATTCAACCAGGACGAGCTCTCCTCGATACGAACGGTGCGGGTGAAAGCGAGGGAAACCAGTGTGTGCCTGAGGCTGCGACTTCGATGAAACCGGATCTGGCCGGTGTGACTACCGGAACTACGCTCTCCGAGTTTCTGTCGGTCCTACCAGCAACGTCGATCGCGTGGAATGCCGGACGAACGTTCGTTTCCTGATGCCGAGTGTTGCTACCGTAGACGTCAGCTCTCACCAGCGGATTCTCTCGGCATGTACCGAACCACGTCCGCAGCGTAATGATCTGCTCTCCCTGGATGAACTCGTTGTGTGGCTCGGCCCTCCTACGATCCTCTTCCACGCAGCGAACGGTGACGAATCAAGTCTGAAAACAAAAGCCCTGAGGCGCATTGCCATATTAGCCCCAGGTTGGCGGCCATCCCATTTCGTAACTTACTTCTTTTCGAAGGCTTTGTCTTTTCACGCAGCGACTCGCTGCGGTGCTGATTGTCAATGTCAAGGTCAAATCTCGACGTGGAGGCCAATCTGTGTGAGCGTCAAACACGTCATTAGTTTCAACGTTACATCAATATTGCTTACCGGTTATTCCAATGGTATACCAGTGATTGCCGAATGTCGGATTCCTCCGTGCTTGGCTCCTAGTAGTCGCAATCCTCGATGTGTGAACCGCTCGTTCCCAGTGCGTGTATGCGTGCAGTCTGTGTGGTGCAATACTGTTCCGAAAAGCTTGGTTAGTTTGGCGTTTGTTCTAGTGTGCTGGACTATACCCACCTTTTACTCGTTGTGAAGCTCCGAAGGCTTTCTGAAAATGTCCACGTTCTGGTACAGTTTGCACGATGGCGACGCTTGCCAGCTCGCGTTGATTTTCCGTAGGATGGCTTTTCCGACGGTTATGTTAGCTCAGTTCAACTGGAAGCTATAGTTCGCCCAACGAGTATCAAACGCACTACCGTTTACGACCGAAACTACAGCCCGCACAATTTGATCACCTCCGAAACTATCGCCCTAACGATGACGATGCGCGTTTATGCCGTCCGCAACTGCAGGGAACCACACAACTAACTGAACCGGATTTTTTTTTCCACGCAAAATGTGCGCACTACTTGCACGGGTGTCTTTCTTCTTCTCGCTTGCTGTGGCTGGTCCGATCTCCTGCGAAGCCGTGTGTGTGTGCGTGTTCGGCGGAAGAGTTGTCAGAAGTCTCCATACTGTATGATGTTAGCAATATAATTTGCTTTGCTTGTCTGTTTTCAAGTGACGTGGCCCATGCAGCATCAATTTCATAGCTGCACGCTTCAATGCATTTACTCAACGTGTGACAAAGTTTGCTCTTTCTATCGGCAAAATAGTACTCAAAATTAATACGTAACAAGTACCAAACTCAAATGTCATACGACAGGCTCTGTCATACGCCGAAGACCGTCACGAATGTATGTATATTAGTTTTTCTCATAATAAGAGCTGCTGATGGTGTGCTTGTGTGAATTCTGAAAATAGCAAGCAATGATGTCCTAGTAATAATATTTCTGATCAGAAATGGTTTGATTTACACCAAATTGAGGAATTACAACAAAATCACACATGTCATATGATAGCTATTTTGATAATTTTCTTTTAGCTCGAATGTTATTTTACCGCTCGTGTTGTGTGAGAGAGACGACGGTAGAGCATGAGTGTTCGAATACAAACAGACTGTCACGCACGACAACGAAGCGAGTGTAGTAAAAAACGTCGACTGTTTCAACCCCTGCCAGCGATATCCGGCATATCAGCGGGGAATTGAATGTTGTTGCGGATGCACTGTCAAGAATAGAAGCAATCAACGTTCCTATGGCAATTGATTACGAAACGGTTGCCAAAGACCAACAGGCGGACGTCGAATTGAAGCATCTTCTATTAAAATCAGGTTCACTGAAACTGGAACCTCGGAAGACCCCCCTGGCATCTGTATCCTTGTATTGCGACGTTTCACAAAATAAGGTAAGGCCGTACATCCCCTTGCAACATCGCCAGGCAGTGCTGAAACACATACATGGATTAGCACATCCGGGAATTCGCTCTACTCGTCGATTGGTTGCCGATCGATTTGTTTGGTAAAACATGAATAAGGACATCAAGCAATTTGTTCAGAACTGTTTATCCTGCCAGCGTTCTAAGGTTCATCGACATACGAAAGCACCAATCGAAAAGATTCCCCTACCGGATAGCCGATTTCGTCATGTGCACATGGACCTAGTGGGTCCGCTGCCCCCTTCGAATGGATATCGTTATCTGTTAACAATCATAGACCGTTATTCTCGGTGGCCGGAGGCGATTCCATTACACGATATGACCGCCGAAACAGTGGCTCGCGCATTTGTCGATACGTGGATTGCACGCTTCGGAATACCTGAGACTGTAACGACAGACCAGGGAAGGCAATTCGAGTCGGACCTTTTTCGTGAGTTATCAAGAGCGATAGGATCAAAACATGTTCGAACGACAGCTTACCATCCACAGTCAAATGGTTTGGTGGAGCGATTACACCGAACACTCAAGGCGTCCATAATGGCAGTGAGTCAAAAACATTGGACTGCTGAACTTCCTATAATCTTGCTTGGACTACGAACGGCTTATCGATCCGATTTCGGATGCTCGGTAGCAGAGTTGCTTTATGGACAGACGCTGCGTATACCCGGAGAATATTTTGAGTCAACAGACGAATATAACGATCGCACTGAATTTGCAAAACAACTGAAATCCACTATGCGCAAATGGAAGCCTGCTGACCCAAACCATCATGTCAAACCGGCTGTATTTGTAAATCACGAACTCCAAAAGTGCAGTCACGTGTTCGTGCGAATAGATGCTGTGAAGAAACCACTTGTGCAACCGTATGAAGGGCCGTACGAAGTAGCTGATCGTCACGAAAAGTTCATGGATCTTCGAATAAATGGGAAAGTTCATCGAATCTCAATCGACCGCATCAAACCGGCATTCATCTGCGATCAAGGAGTGGATGGTCATCCACAGTACGATAAAAATACGAAAATCACACAATCAGGACACAAAGTTAGATTCCTGGTGTGACTGGGGGGGGGGGGGACTCTGTGGTGCTTAGTATTGCTTTCAATCAGCGCACCCCTCGTGAGCGAACAGAGAAAAAGAGGAAGTGTCAGAGTTGTAAAACACGTGAGACAAGAAAGAGCTCCTTGAGATTGTCGATTAAAAACAACAAGTTTTATTCGTTTTATTTATTCGCGGTCCGCGTTCGCGCCCCACACATCTAACAACCGTTGGAATCATCCGTGAAAAACATGTCTCCGGCAAAGTTCAAGCTCATCTTGCTGGATCATCCGAAACGAGGCCAAAAACGACAGACCACACAACCGATTTAAAGATACTAAAAGAACGCAAAATGTAGGTTCGAAAGAATCGAAGCGCTGAACATAAATGGATGCTTTTGATTGGCCGATTCACGTGTAGAAGAAAGATTTGCCGGATCACCTTCTCTCCGTCAGCTGCGATCATAACAACTCAAAATGTATCCACTGAATATCATTCACTATCGGTTTTTCAGTTAGTAGCTTTTAACCTATCCTAGGATATTTCGAAGAAAACTTTGCCCATACACATCGTTTTAAAAATTTTATTTTCACAACTACAGTATGATCATTTTAATGCATTCAGTTTTTTTTACAGGTTTGCTGCTTTAATTTAGCATTTTATTTTTTATTATCAAAAATTTTGGCAAAATTTTGCAAATTGCAGACTTTCTCTTGTTGAATGTGTTTTTCTATGGTAAAGGAAATAGCTTTCCAAACTTCACTTCTACACCTTACTACTTTCTAGACTTAACTGGGAGAGATAGCAAATGAATCTAGATATCTACAGTGTTACTACCGGTAAAATCGTCGCGTGCTCCACACGACGTAGACATAAAAATGAGATTTTACTACATAATTGTAAAATAAATTAATTTAGTAACCAGCCAGCTTGTGGCTGTTCTACAGTTCCTAATCATTAGATTCAGTAGTAATACGTAATCGTATTGGGAATTGAAAACGGACATTGAATTAGTATGTAGATAACTCGTATTTACAAAATAACATTTACAGTTTAGGAAAAATAAAACTAAATAAAAAGTCTATTGATAAACAGTCAAGCAGGACTGATTGCGCAGAATGAGGGTGGATTTTAAATCACATAATTTCAAACTTAGTCAAGCTTCTTTAGGATTGCTGCTGTTGACCTTCGGCGCTGACAGTCGCAAACATGGAGTGAATTTTGGCGACAATCTTCAGCGCCGGTCCCAGCTTCATGCCCATCGTGTTGACCAGGTGGTTCTCCTTCAGCAGCAACAGGGCTTGGCCATCGATTTCGTGAATTGCGAAATCTTCCGCGTAGTCACTGCATCCGGGGAGGTTCTTGATGAAATCACACACCTCCTGCACGGACCATTTCATGATGATGGGACTTTCCTCGGGTGCCACCGTTGGGACCACCGGAATCGTGGCTGCACCCGTTTCCATTGGCGTAGCAGCAGCAAACTGCGACGGATGGTGGTGATGGTGATGATGATGATGATGCGATGACGACTGATCCATCGAATCCATTCGTTCCAGCTTGATGTTGGACGGCGCCACCGGGTTTACGGTGGTCGTAACGGAAGAATGATCCATCCCATTGCCGGTACTGGTGGGATGTGCTTCGGCAGTGCCATTGTGAGATGGTGACGTGACCTGGTCGGTGGAATTTTGCTTCGCGGCCCGGGCACAATCGACGCTGCAGAAGCGTTTGCGCTTCATCTTGCTTCGGGGTTCCGGTTTGCCGCAAATTTCACAATTTCCCATTTCCACTCCACCGGCAGAAATCGGGAGCGACGGTTGTGAGCTGGGTGCTTGGTGGTGCTGCGGTTGACCGTTGCTCGGAGAGATTGGTGAGCTGGAATCGGTAATGGTGCGCTTTTCTGGAAATGAAATAAAAACCACAGGAGCATCAGTAATTAGGTTAGCTGGATAACTAAAACAGGACTGGTTCGACTGGCAATTCTAAGAAGAATAATCCTTAGAAGTCTTAAAAAGTTTTAGCAACGGGTGGGCTATTAACAAGTCTTTTGCCGCAGTAGGTATTGTGTATGGATGGAACACGTGAATTCCTAGAAGTTGAAAACAAAAAATGGATTTTCCCTTGTTAGGAACAATGGCAACAAGTACCGTAAGAAGGGGTGAAGTTGATTACGACATCGTTAAATTTTCCTTTCAATTTGTTTTATGACCTCGTGTTATGAAAACAAATTATTAGCATTTCATTAAGTAGTGGTCAAAAGTGCTTTTGGAACGCATTTTATCTAGCAAACGATGCATTCTACCAGTCTAAAAGGTTGAATGCAGGGCTGTGGATTCGGGTGAAAATCGATCGACTCCGACTCCTATTCAACAAAATATAATTAATTAAAAAAAAAACCGGGAAAAACTAAAAATTCCGTAAATATTTCAAGCATGCTTAAGCAATTTTTAACAAAATCTGCCGTCACTTCTAACAAAATCGGTTTCAAACTTTCGCAATGAAAATTGACACTTATAAATTCGAAATTCGTCACAGTTTCGGAAAATAGTTGAGTTTAGGAAAATGGAGAAATTTCATACAAATTTGCGAACATTTGTAGTGTTACAACTTATATCAAAATTATTCACAACTTTCAAATCATATTTTTCAATCAAATGGTAAAAAATTTAAACAAAGTTTGCCCAATCTTGCAGTAAGAGGTTCATAATTTTGAAAAGAAATTGACAAAATCTCAAAAGAAACGTCTAACATCTTTCAACAGAATTTATCACATTTTTTCTCTAATTTCAACAAAATGGACACAGCTTCACTGCCTATAATCGCATACCAGTCCCATATGGGCAGGGCTGGTAGCGATCACTGGTGTCAAAAATAGTGATTTTAGTGACCATGTTGAAGAAATAAGTGACCAAATAGTGACTTATAGTTGTAAAAATAGTGACCTAAGAGAAAATAAATGTTTGATGTTTTAGACTCACTTACCAAGTATCTCATAAAAACTTATGTACTATATGAACCTTTAAAATGAAAGATTCAATAGAAAGTGTATGGCCAAACCCACGGTATTAGTCAGGGTGTCTACTAACTGCAAGAACCTGGAAGGCTCAGAGAATTGAATAAATTTCTTACTAAGGATATTTAGAGAAAAGAATGAAATTTAAAATACAAGCATTTAATGTTTCTCGTTATTTACATTCACACTTTTAACTTTATAGATCCACATTGGACTAATATTCAGTAATATATATATTAAAAAAACAGAGGCTTGAAATGTTTTTTTTTTTTGTTTGAAACATACATATTTCCTAGAAATTTTAAATTTGAACTAGTCCTGGACTTAAAAGCTATAATACTTCAAGAAATTTTCAAGAATCTGGAGTAAAAATCCATGCACAGTTTTAAAGCTCGTGGAATTTAATTTTAATTTCTAAGGACCTTATTTCAAGGAAGTTCTGGGAAAAGAATCTGTCAGAAAAAACATCAAATGCAATCTGCTTTTAAGGTAGTTCTGAAGAATTTTAGATTTCCTGTGAAGCCTGAAAGTTTTGACAAAAATTTGAAGAAACCCTGAATTGAATTAAAAGCAAATTTTAATGAAAACTCTGAAAATTTCTGAGGAGCACAATTCCTTCAGAGAAAAATTTCAAGGGCCTTCTGAGGATAATTTTATAAAGTTGTGGAACAAAACGAATATGGAGCATAAGTCCTTGGAATCTTTTTGGAGGAGGATTGCAATTAAATCTGAGAATAACTCCAGAACATCTTCAAAGGAATTCGGAAAATAAATTCAAGAGCATTTGCCAAACAAATTATGCGAAGAAATCTAAGGAATTTGTGAGGAGAAATACCACTGAATTCTTAGGAGACTTTCAATGTGAGTAGAATTCCAAGGGAAGGATATGTGAAATGAATTCAATGAATATGCGGAGAGTTTTTCCAAAGGGTTTCTTATTGTGGAGAATTCCAAGGTCTTTCCGAGGAAAACTAAAAGAAAATTAAATTAGGAGGATAGCTTTATTGAAATGTTTGTTTATTTGTTTATTTGTCATGGTTGCATCAACAGACTAGAAATAGTCCCAATGGGTCGTATGAATAGTTTACTTTACTTTCCCGTGCTTTTCTTACGGGAAAAGTAAAGTAAACGCTTTTATTCATACGACCTAATGATGTGTTGTAAAAAAAGTACAGATTATACAGACGACATACATATACTACAGTTACTACAGTTACAAACGAAAATAACTTGGAAAGCATTGTCAAGTTACTAAAAATTTATAAGTCTTAAATTTTACACTTAGCTGTTGGGTATCAAGCGCCTTCGGTCAGCAAAAAAGGCAGAGAATTTTCGGCGAAGCATATTCCGTGTCAAGTGGAAATCGAACATCGACGCTACTCGGTTGAACACTAGCTGCAAGCCGTAAATAGCGCTCCCTATGCTATAATTAGTTCGAAGAAGTGGAAGTCTCAGCATAAGACTGTTGCGTAGTGATCAAGGTTGAACATTAATGTTCACTTGTTGCAGAATTGCTTCGCAGTCGATTCTTCCTTGCAGAGTATCGGCGACGGTTAAGGCTCTGAAAACATCTCTTCGGATACGTAAGGGCTCGATATTGATCAATTGGCAGCGATTCTCGTAGCTTGGAAGACGAAGTGGGTATCTCCAAGGCAGCTTACGGAGCGCGAAGCGAAGAAAACGTCGTTGAACAGATTCAATTCGCTCGGCCCCATTATTGTAGTTCGGGCTCCAGACAGCAGAGCAGTATTCCAGCGTAGATCGTACGAGAGAGCAATAGAGCGATTTCAAGCAGTAAATGTCCGTGAAGTTCTTAGTAATCTTGAAGACAAAGCCAAGTGTTCTGGACGCTTTGTCGACGACATACGATATATGGTGTGAGTATGTCAGCTTTGAGTCTAGAAAAACGCCTAAGTCTTTCACGCAAAGCACCCGTTCGATAGTCGTGCCTAGTAGTTTGTAGTTGCAAATAATCGGTTGTTTCTTGCGTGAGAAAGTAATAACTGTACACTTAGCTGGGTTGACCACCAGTCGGTTTAGACTACACCAGTCAGCAAAGATGTCAATCTGATTTTGGAGAGAACGGCAGTCGGCGAGTGAGCGGATGCGCAGAAAAACTTTGAGATCGTCTGCAAACGATAATCGTGGCTCTGTGATAACATGGTGAACGTCGTCGAAGTAGAGGAGAAATACCAATGGTCCCAGATGGCTGCCCTGAGGTATACCGGACTTTGCGCAGAAGCTTGCTGAGCGACAAGTACCCAAAGTTACTGTCAATTGGCGCTCCGTGAGGTATGAACGAGACCATCTCAAAAGATTTCCACCGATCCCTAGCCTATCAAGCTTAGCGATCGCAATTTCGTGGTTCAGCTTATCGAAGGCTGCCGTAAGATCTGTGTAGATAACGTCCGTTTGGGTCCGAGCAATCAAACTGTCTGTGATGTAAGACGTTAGGCACAGCAGGTTCGTAGTTGTGGAACGCCCAGTTATGAATCCGTGTTGATCTGTACTTAGATATTGCCTGCAATGCGCATTTAGGGACTCTATGACAACCAATTCAAAAAGTTTTGATACAGCACTCAGCGACGTGATTCCCCGGTAGTTGTTTACGTCGCGTTTGCTTCCCTTTTTTTATGAACAGGAAACATATCCGCAGTCTTCCAGCAAGACGGAAAGATGCCGCTGGAAAGAGAGAGCTGGAATATGCGGCGCAGTGGATCTAAAAGACAAGTGATGTTCTTTTTAAGAATAATCGACGGAACACCATCGGGTCCAGCCTTAGTTGAAGTCTTAAGTTTAGATGCTGCTCTAGAAATCGTATCTGTAGTGGCTTCGACCATGCTGAGCGTTTGGTTGATCAAAGGAACATTACTGGCCGCGGAAGTAATGATATTAGCGGAGAGTTGCTCGGCTTCAAACACACTAGCAAATTTGGCTGAGAACAGGTTGCAAATGTCTTGTTGATTTCCAGCAGTTTCACCATTAAAAATCATGGAAGAGGGTAAGCCGACTTCCCTGCGTTGCTCATTTACGAATTTCCAGAAGGATTTCGGGTGTGATTTTAGCCGCCGTTGAATCCTCCTTTGATAGCGTTGAAAACAGAGACGACTTAACCGCTTATACTCGTGGTTGAGTCTGACATAGAAGCATTTCAGTGGCAGTGTGCAGAGTTTAGTAAATCTTCTGAGAGCAGCCTTCTTAGTTCTTTTCAATGAGCGAAGATCTTTCGTCATCCACGGGACGCGAGAGTCGATATGGATGATCTTTTTGGAAACGTGTCTGTCAATGACATATGCCAAGACGTGAGAAAAGGTTTGTGCAGCAATGTTGACGTCTACAGGATCTAGAATATGCTCCCAATCTAGATTAGACAGCACATGGACGATACTGCAATGGTCAGCTCTACGGAAGTCATATGACACAGCGTTTGGAGTGCTGGTGAAATCATGGACAATATTATTTTCGATCACGATAACTAAAGCAGGGTGATGATGCACTACCTTGACTAAAGGTTCGGGTGCCGTGGAGAGGAAAGGAGCTGTATCACGAGCACTCACAAAGCAGAGATCCAGGGTGCGGTTGTTTTCATTCAACAGGCCATTGATTTGTGACAGAATTGCGGTACTATAACTGTCCAGGAGCTGGATGGTTCCTACGTGGAAAGATGAACGCTCGTGATCAGGACAAAAGAAACCACTATGGGTTGGAGTCCATGCAATGTCCGGTAGGTTAAAATCGCCAAGAACAATAACTTCGTCGGAAGGGCCTACTTTGTCTGAAGCGGCCAAGACGGATCGACAATGTGCGTCAATAAGCTCCAAGTCACGGGTTCGATCTGGAGGAATGTACACTGCACAGAGAAGCAATTGACGATCACCAAGTTGAAT